GTATTATTACATGTTGACTGGCAGATAAACATGCCTTTGGCATAGTGCTTAATATACAGTATGTCTACCATTCAAACTCCTGTTACTATCTGATAGTTGACAATGAACCTTATTGTTGGCCATTGATCTTACAAATGTAGAGTTGCTATGGTTAGTATTTGCAATAAAGTGGTTAAGTCATGTGTGTGTGTGTGTGTGTGTCAGTGGTGGTCGGTGCCGTTTAAGATGAGGGAGGATGCTAATTTTTTATGAGCATGGCCTTATTTCTATTACAGCATATTGGATGACTGTCATTCATATTCCTTTCACCCAGCTCAATGTAACATCGATAGGTTTAGGCTATTACATGATACTCTAATTTTCCCTGTACCAATTAGGTTCCTACAACCTAACCTATGAATGAAAGTTTACAATGTAGGTGCATAGGTCGGAATTATTTTGAGTAATCAAAGTGACAGACAGTGACACATTCAATACCGCCTTGCACACTCTTGGCTGCATCTAGCTGATCTAGGGTATAATCATTAGTCCAACAGTTGCAAATGAGAGTTTCTATTGGACATATCCAGGTATGTTTATCCCCGTTTCGTTCCGTTTGCTTCCGTTCAACAGAATCTGCGGAATGAGTACACCCCTGATCATACGCAAACAGTTAACTTTCATAGCAGCCACATAAAAACAGCATGATCACCTCGCTCGTTGTATATATAATTCCTTCTCACAACTATCTACACGCTCTCCTCCTCTCACCTTTTCCCTTCACTTGTGGACTTCAGTGCACAACACATCAGCTGTCTGTGACCAGTCTAAAAACACTTTCCATGCCAAACCTTCATATCATCACTGCTAACCGCTACACACAGCCTACATCATTGTTACGTCATAGTCAACTAGAATACTAGAACTAACGCGTTAGTAAACCCACTACAATCATGCAGTACAGTGTACAGTCAGAAAGCAGTTTAGCAGTTACACCGGCGGGCCCCGGTGGCAATAAATGAAAAAAACCAAAAGCTTACCTTGACTTGGAAGAGTTTCAGTGTTGAATAGCCATAGCCAGCTAGCTAACATAGCATCCCTCTCTGTTTGAGCCAGGTGTATGAGTAGGCTAAACTAGCTAGCTGCATAAGCAGTTTAGCAGTTACACCAGCGGGCCCCGGAGGCAATAAATTAATAAAACCAAAAGCTTTCCTTGACTTGGAAGAGTTTCAGTGTTGAATAGCCATAGCCAGCTAGCTAACATAGCATCCCTCTCTGTTTGAGTAGGTTAAACTAGCAAAAACTAGTAAAAGTGAAAGTTTTAAAAAAATACAACCAAATATAGCTAGCTCTCTCTCTCTTGCTCTCTCTTGTGTCTACTTAATTTGGAAGAAATTAATTTGTTCAAAACTGTTTCACTATTATCTTTCTTTCTCTCTGAGTCAACTACTCACCACATTTTATGAACTACGGTGCTAGCTAGCTGTGGCTTATGATTTCAGTGCTAGATTCATTCTCTGATCCTTTGATTGGGTGGACACCATGTCAGTTCATCACATTTACATTTTAGTCATTTAGCAGATGCTCTTATCCAGAGCAACTTACAGTTAGTGAGTGCATACATTATTATTTTTTTATTTGTAATTTTTTTCATACTGCCCCCCCGTGGGAAACGAACCCACAACCCTGGCGTTGCAAACGCCATGCTCTACCAACTGAGCTACATCCCTGCCGGCCATTCCCTCCCCTACCCTGGACGACGCTGGGCCAATTGTGCGCCGCCCCATGGGTCTCCTGGTCGCGGCCGGCTACGACCGAGCCTGGATTTGAACCAGGATCTCTAGTGGCACAGCTAGCACTGCGATGCAGTGCCTTAGACCACTGCGCCATTCGGGAGGTGTTCATGCTGCAAGCTCTCTAATATGTTGGAGGACGTCCTCCGGAAGTTGTCATAATTACTGTGTAAGTCTATGGAAGGGGGTGAGAACCATGAGCCTCCTATGTTTATATTGAAGTCAATGTACCCAGAGGAGGACAGAAGCTAGATGTCTTCAGGCTACACGATGGTGCTACCCTACAGAGTGCTGCTGAGGCTACTGTAGACATTCATTGCAAAAGTGTGTTTTAATCACTTATTTGGTGACATGTGACTACTGTATATTTTGTATAGTTTTATCTAAAAATGATAACTTTTTTAATGTTTCAGTATTTTTATGAAATTCACTGAGGATGGTCCTTCCCTTCCTCCTCTGAGGAGTCTCCACTGGTGTGTGTGTGTGTGTGTGGCTTTAAGGGCAGTAATATTGGGTGTTAATTTGTTTGTCAAAAAGCCATAGAAAGTCATTGGATTTCCAATGCTGTTCTTTAACTGTCCCAAAGAGAAATCACCCACCAAAGACCAGCTTCATTTGTTGTTTCGGCGAGCTGTTTATTACAAAAGGACTGTACATACATTTCAATTAACACATTATATATACAAACCAAGAGGAAAGAAGACACATATCAGATTCTGTTCACATGAACATTTAAGTTACAGATAATCACTTTTTCCACGTTTCATATAAGAAAACAGACATAAAATCAAGACGCCTTGAGCCCTGGTGCCCTGAACTGTTTTACGTTTTAGTGGTAAACATACATACAAAGTTCTGCTGCGTGTGAGTGGTTGTCTCATGATATTTTTCTAGGAAAATATAAATAAATCAAAATACACACTGCTACCAAACCATGTCTCAGACAAAGTATTTCTAAACAACAAAATGAAATGCTAAAACTGCTTAGGTAGAAAAAGTTGTTTTTTCTCACAAAAATGACCAAAAATGATGGAAGAGTTAAAAGTACAGTCAATAACTAACTGGATGTAGTGGCAAATTATTATTCTCAGTAAAGAATGTAATGTTTTATTTTATGTATGCATGTAGTCATGCATACATTGTACATTGAGGTTGAATACTGTTCATGTTGAATATGTTGGCATTATTGTCTTCCACACAAGTGCACGTGGCAAGCTTTAACTTGTCTGTACGTCATAACGCCTACTCCATGTGGTCACAAACAAAACCTATTGTCATAACCGTAACCTATTTGTAACATCACTAATGACTCATGAAAAATACAACTCAAATGCCAGGATGTAAGAGGTAAGGCCATCCAACCACAAGCAACCTACATCTTTGCATGGAAGTATTTAGTCATAATGTCATCATGTCATGTTTCCAATAAAATGTGGAATATTACTTCATCATAAATGTGTGGCACAAATGTGTCTGCATCTTTCAAACACAATCATTTTAATACATTTGAGTCCACAATGCACCGCTGAATTTCCTACATTCATTGTGATAGAAATGACAGAGCAAGGTTACATTCAAGATTGAACGTTTACCATTGTTACAAATCACTCTGTACTGCTCAATAAGTAGGCTAGTAGCCTATACCATTTTTTGACAGTCTTGCGTCCTTGTTTTGAGGTTGTGTTGATGATGGTAGGTGATAATGGTTATCAAATACCAAAGATAAGCACCTAACCAGAGCCCACTGACAAAGCAAGGATATAACAAAAAATGATAATGCAACAGTTGGATAGCCTGAACACAACCCGTGTGTTGCAATCAAAGCCATATAATTGAAGTCATATAAAAAGCCATTGAGAACTAATCAGTGCAGACATTCCAACACAATGGAACCATGATGGAGTAAAAAGTACATTAATCAGTTTCTTCACGTTTTGCCGACTTAAGCACATTTCAGGAAACATTTGCTACAGTAGCCTGACAGCATAACAAATATTTATTTTTATATCATTTATTTTTAACATAAAAAACAACATAATATCAAGTGACAATTGGCTAAACTGAGGGTAGAAATGGCACTAAAATAGAAAAATAAAAGAATACCTGAAAAATGACAAAATAAGATTGAGTAAAATCATCCCTGGCACAACTTTGCTTACCATTGACCACTCAAAAGACTCAGATGGAAACTCACAGGTAAAACACTACTGACACACAAACTGGCAGCTTCTCACATTACAGTATATACAGTATATAAAACGAAATAATAACTTCACCAGAAATAAGCAAATGAACGGTCATATCTTTTTGCATTCAATACTCAGTATACCGCTTTGACGTCTCCTATTCCCTATCCCTTGGCCCACCTCCCAAACCCACCCACCCTTCCCTCCAACATATAGCATAGTAAATATAATATTTAGCTTCTTTTTTAACATCTGCAATTTGGACACTGACAAAAACAAACATTCGGTCACACATGTCGTAATGCACTTCTTTACGTTCATTTGTTTGTTTATTCGTTCTTATATTTTTTCTGTAAAAGTAAGATTGATATTTTGCTGTGTGGAGATGGGGGGTCTTTGAGGACAATTTGACTGTGCAAAACAAATGCCGACATCTTACTAAAAGCTACCTTATCGTTTCAAATACTAAACTCAGCACTTTGCTTTTTGGTAACATCCTGGCGCTTTTGCACTGTCAAAATGGCCGCCCTTAGTCTGCATAGTGCATGATGGATTCTACGTAGTTGCCGGGGAAGAGGCCGGTGACACCGTTGCAGACGCCCTCGTACCAGCCGTCGTCGTTCTTCTTGATGATGTAGATGATGGAGCCCTCCATGAAGGACAGCTCGTCCTCCTTGTCCTTGGAGTAGTCGTAAATAGCCACCACTGTAAAATACATTGGATTTATTTATTCATTGCCTTTTTTTAACCAGGTAAATTATTGAGAACACGTTCTCTTTGATAATAATGACCTGACCATAGACTGAGGGAGAACAACTGGTGGAAATAGGGCTGTACGTGAAATAATTACTTCAAGAAATAGTATAGTAGGCCTACACCCAAGATTCACAATTTGTGGGTGTCCCTTAGTAGCATCTGTACTGTAACTGTCCTAAACTACTAAATTGGTTTTGGATAAGCTTGATTCTTTGTCTCCACAGACATTTGTTTGCGCCATTTAAAAGAAGCTTATAACAGCACGTAAATCATGCTCAAACTGGTGTCAGTGACTCGTCTTTGTATGACGTCGCTGAAGTTCCGGGGGGTAACAGTCAAACTCACCCTTCTCTACGTAGGCCTTGGGGGCCCAGTGGGGGTCTCCGTCAGCATAAGGGTCACTGTAGTGCACCACGGCCGCCTCCTCATCCCCCTGGTAGTCCACGGGCGGGGGCGGGGGAGGGGGCGAGGGCTCCTCAAACATGACCACGTCCTCGGGAGGGGGCGGTGGAGGGGGGGCCGGGCTGTCTGTTACTGAACAGAAGGGGAGAGGAAAATAAATGTGACATTATGGAAGGACAATTTCATAGGGAAGTCTGTTCTAGTAATTCTATTTCTTTGTGTGACATCAATAGAGCTCGCCAGCTTGTAGTCCTAAAAAACGGAAATGAGTTACCTCTGATTCGTTCAGCCATTCCTATGGGAAAAATGAATGGGGAAAAAATAGGGTTTTGGGATAAACGCTGAAAGTAATGTGTGAGGTTAACACAGGCTTGGCAGAGCTTATACGTTTAGTTCTATGAGATAATATCAGTCAGTTAACATGACCTTTATGCTTTATGTGCTTTTTAAAATTACATAAATGCTTAAAAATTCACAAAAAGTGACGTTAGCTGATTAATATTATCTCATAGAACAAAACATACAATATCTCCTAAATCTTTGTTTATCACATAGACCTTATTTTCGGCATTTATCCAAAAACCCTATAAAAATGCCATTCATTTAGGCTTTGTCCAACAAACCATGGCGGAGTTAGTCCCTACAAAAAGACGCCATTACTATTTCTCTATATTATGGCCTAGCGTTTCTCCTGACCATGTGACCTGACCAGGAAAAACTCCTACATATACAGTGGGGAGAACAAGTATTTGATACACTGCCGATTTTGAAGGTTTTCCTACTTAGAAAGCATGTAAAGGTCTATAATTTTTATCATAGGTACACTCAACTGTGAGAGACGGAATCTAAAACAAAAATCCAGAAAATCACATTGTATGATTTTTAAGTAATTAATTATCATTTTATTGCATGACATAAGTATTTGATCACCTACCAACCAGTAAGAATTCCGGCTCTCACAGACCTGTTCGTTTTTCTTTAAGAAGCCCTCCTGTTCTCCACTCATTACCTGTATTAACTGCACCTGTTTGAACTCATTATCTGTATAAAAGACACCTGTCCACACACTCAATCAAACAGACTCCAACCTTTCCACAATGGCCAAGACCAGAGAGCTGTGTAAGGACATCAGGGATAAAATTGTAGACCTGCACAAGGCTGGGATGGGCTACAGGACAATAGGCAAGCAGCTTGGTGAGAAGGCAACAACTGTTGGCGCAATTATTAGAAAATGGAAGAAGTTCAAGATGACGGTCAATCACCCTCGGTCTGGGGCTCCATGCAAGATCTCACCTCGTGGGGCATCAATGATCTTGAGGAAGGTGAGGGATCAGCCCAGAACTACACGGCAGGACCTGGTCAATGACCTGAAGAGAGCTGGGACCACAGTCTCAAAGAAAACCATTAGTAACACACTACGCTGTCATGGATTAAAATCCTGCAGCGTACGCAAGGTCCCCCTGCTCAAGCCAGCGCATGTCCAGGCCCATCTGAAGTTTGCCAATGACCATCTGGATGATCCAGAGGAGGAATGGGAGAAGGTCATATGGTCTGATGAGACAAAACACTCGCCGTGTTTGGAGGAAGAAGAAGGATGAGTACAACCCCAAGAACACCATCCCAACCGTGAAGCATGGAGGTGGAAACATCATTCTTTGGGGATGCTTTTCTGCAAAGGGGACAGGACGACTGCACCGTATTGAGGGGAGGATGGATGGGGCCATTTATCGCGAGATCTTGGCCAACAACCTCCTTCCCTCAGTAAGAGCATTGAAGATGGGTCGTGGCTGGGTCTTCCAGCATGACAACGACCCGAAACACACAGCCAGGACAACTAAGGAGTAGCTCCGTAAGAAGCATCTCAAGGTCCTGGAGTGGCCTAGCCAGTCTTCAGACCTGAACCCAATAGAAAATCTTTGGAGGGAGCTGAAAGTCCGTATTGCCCAGCGACAGCCCCGAAACCTGAAGGATCTGGAGAAGGTCTGTATGGAGGAGTGGGCCAAAATCCCTGCTGCAGTGTGTGCAAACCTGGTCAAGACCTACAGGAAACGTATGACCTCTGTAATTGCAAACAAAGGTTTCTGTACCAAATATTAAGTTCTGCTTTTCTGATGTATCAAATACTTATGTCATGCAATAAAATGCAAATTAATTACTTAAAAATCATACAATGTGATTTTCTGGATTTTTGTTTTAGATTCCGTCTCTCGCAGTTGAAGTGTACCTATGATACAAATTACAGACCTCTACATGCTTTGTAAGTAGGAAAACCTGCAAAATTGGCAGTGTATCAAATACTTGTTCGCCCCACTGTATATATTCTAGCAAAACAGGAAAAATTCAGCTCTATAGGAAGTTTATTTTCAAAACGCTATATCCACAAATTTTTCACATTTGTGTTTTTTCATCAGAAATAATTTCTTATGGGTTAACTTAATGTTTGTGTAAAATATTACTGTTCTCAGATTTTGTATTCATAGAGTTTAGATGTTTATTTGCTAAATGCTATATATCCAATGTTTAGCTGGAATGGAATGTTTTTATCCTGTATATTGTACTGTGATATGTGGTTGTCTCATCTAGCTATCTTAAGATGAATGCACTCACTGTAACACGCTCTGAATAAGAGCATTTGCTAAATAACTAAAATGTCAAATGTAACTGTTTTACACACAGATCTCATATTACTGTATTGAATGATAATTCTTTACAAATAATTATATTGATGTCACAAATGTATAATTTGTACATTTCTTTATTAAAATGTAGTTATTTGTTACATTTGACTGTGTAATACCTAGCAGTACTACTTATTTCTCTGACAGTGAGGCAGATATATAGCATTTTGCAAAAAACTAATGTTTCTCTGAAATGAAACCATCAAGTGATAGATTTTAAACAAATACATGTCTGTCATTGAACAACTCCATGCCATGATTAGATAGTGAAAAAACACACCAATCTCTTTCATAATTTCTTTAAACAATAAAAGCTAATTAACAACATTTCTGAAATGGTCTTAGCTCCGCCACGCCAAACGGAAAAAATAACTTCAATAACTTCAAACTGCCCCCACCAGTGTGCTGCTCCTTAACATCATACAAACAAAACATGAATTCACATACACTGAGTGTACCAAACATTAGGATCACCTGCTCTTTCCATGACATAGACTGACCAGGTGAAAGCTATGATCCCTTATTGATGTCAATCAGTGTAAATGAAGGGGAGGAGACAGGTTAAAGAAGGATTTTTAAGCCTTGAGACAACTGAGACACTGCTGGGTTTTTAACACTCAATTGTTTCCCGTGTATATCAAGAATGGTCCACCACCCAAAGGACATCCAGCCAACTTGACACAATTGTGGGAAGCATTGAGCCAGCATCCCTGTTGAACGCTTTCGACACCTTGTAGAGTCCATGACCCGACGAATTGAGGCTGTTCTGAGGGGAAAAGGAGGGTGCTACTCAATATTAGGAAGGTGTTCCTAATGTTTTGTACACTCAGTGTATATTGTATTCTACCAGTATTCTATTTCATTCTATTATATTCTATCGGTATTCTATTCTATCGCCATTGTATTCTATTATACCAATATTCTTGTCTATTCTATTCAATTCTATTCTATGCCATGCATGAGCCTGATCTTTTAGACGTGTGATGACCGATACTGTCCAGCAGATGGCATGACAGAACGCAGTGTCTTCTCTTATTATATGTATGAGACACACACAGTTGTTCAGATATGGCTAGTTGGGCTCCTCGAGGTGAAATGCATATGCAAAATAAGGAAAGTAAGGATGAAACTGTCATTTGAAAGCTGGATTAATGACTAAAGTCACCTGGACAAGGACACAGCTAGGGATTGGGAGGGTCCCTGAGACGTGCCCAGTCTGATTAAAACCGTGTTTGACTTGGCTGACACTATGCAGTTTTCCAAACGTTAAGTCACGTGTTTTCAGAGGACAAAGATAGAACCATATAACCCTCGCCACTGTCTCTCAGTGACCATGGCAACAGACAAAACATCGGAGGGGTGTGTCTAAAGGCAGTAGCCAGCGTAGGAAAAAGACATGACAGAGACAGCATAAAAGAGCACTAATAGGTGACAGTGTGAAATGTAAGGCTGAGGGAGTGGTGCTGTTACCTGTGTGTGTGTGTGTTGGTTCTTCTATCCTTGTGGGGACCTAAAATCGCCAAATGTCCCCACAAAGATAGTAAAACAAGGACAATTCTCCCTCATGGGGACATTTCCCACGTCCCCATGAGGACAAAGGCTATTTTAAGCTCAGGGGTTAGGTTTAGGGTTACAATTAGGGTAAGCGGTTAGTGGTTAGGTTACGGTTAGGTTTAGTTTTAGGGTTTGGGTTACTGGTTAGTGGTTAGGTTTAGGGTTAGGTTTAGTTTTAGGGTTTGGGTTAGGGTTAGGGTTAGTGGTTAGTGGTTAGTGGTTAGGTTTAGGGTTAGGTTTAGTTTTAGGGTTTGGGTTAGGGTTACTGGTTAGTGGTTAGGTTTAGGGTTTGGGTTAGGGTTACTGGTTAGTGGTTAGGTTTTGGGTTAGGTTTAGTTTTAGGGTTTGGGTTAGGGTTAAGGTTAGAGATATGGTAAGGTGTAGGTTTAGGGTTAGGGAAAATAGGATTTTAAATATAAATTAATTTTAGGTCCCCAAGAGGACAGAAGAACATAATGTGTGTGTGTGTGTGTGTGTGTGCTTGTGTGCGTGTGTGTTACTTACTGGTCTCCTGCACTCTGGCCACAAAGCCCGTCAGAGGAATCTGAGGAGTCAGCTGGACCATAGGAGGGGGAGGAGCCACAGACACTAGTAGCAGCAACACAGACAGGCAGACAGATGGACATACCAGAGAGAGAGAGAGAGAGAGAGAGAGAGAGAGAGAGAGAGAGAGAGAGAGAGAGAGAGAGAGAGAGAGAGAGAGAGAGAGAGAGAGATAGGGAGATGAAAAATATGCTTGTCAGAGCAAAACAAAGCAGTAAGCGTGCATACCCGCTTAGAGTATTTTATTCTCTCAATTCAACCACTTGACCTGATAGCCAAAGCTTTTATCTATGATAGTGGCTTGCAATTTACTGATATACAAAGTGCGGTTCTGTAACAAGACAATAGGAAAGCTAGGCGAATAGAAATGCAGTGTGGGACGTTGCGACCCCATTAGCTCATAGACACCAAAACCTACCCTTCAGGCAAAGCTGGTTGAAATGACGTTATTATGTTATTCAAATCAAATCAAATGTTATTTGCCACACGTGCCAAATACAACAGGCACTGTAGACCTTACAGTGAAATGCTTACTTACAAGCTCTTAACCAACAATGCAGTTTTAAGAAAAATAAGTGTTAAGTGAAAAATAGACACTGCATTGTTGGTTAAGGGCTTGTAAGTAAGCATTTCACTGTAAGGTGAAACCACAAGCTGGTTGAAATGATGTTATTACAACCACAAGCTGGTTGAAATGATCTTATTACAACCACAAACTGGTTGAAATGAGGTTATTTTGATGTTATCTCAACCAGTTTTGCCCACTGGCTATGTAAACAAACAACAACATTCTGCATGGTAGCATGATATTTCACAGTATCCTATAGACAGTGTTTATTTGTGTGGTAACAATTTAGTTTTACCAATTATTATTACCAAATGTCCTCGGTTTCTTTGGGATTCATTGAAATGAACACCATGAGGTACCATTTCATACATAGTAGTCCCAATGTTATAGGAATTATTTAAAATAAGTGGCAAAAACATATTGTGTAATAATACCAACTTCTAGTTTACTGTGCAATAAAATGCAAACAGCTACACTGTGCATTTCTGTGCTTCAGTTAAAAAAAACACATTTTTTATGACGCTCCTTTGTTTTCCGACAGGTGGCATCACTCATATCGTAAGACAATGATTATTCCCTTCATTGAATGAACTTCACCCTAACCCCAGTACAGTGTTGTAATGATTGTTCCCACCCAAAGGCATGATGTCATAGAGCAGTGGTTACATTTTACATTTACATTTTAGTCATTTAGCAGACGCTCTTATCCAGAGCGACTTACAGTTAGTGAGTGCATAGATTTTCATACTGGTTCCCAACCTTTTTTTAACCGTGGCACACATTGATGGGATAAAAAATTATGTGGCACACCTAAACTTTTCCTAATAATTTATTAAGTGTTAATGACCTCCATCTTATCTGATCCATACTGCAAATCATGACTTTTCTGTGACAACCATTTTTCATAGATTAAACTGGGTGTATTTCAACTATTTTCATAGTTCCTTAGGCCTAGTCCTGATGGTTAATTTGTGTGTACCGGTTTAAGAGCATCCCGCAAATCTCAGATAGAAAGAAAAACATGTAGCTCCGGTAAAATAGGTCTTATTTTTGAACGGAAAGGTCTAGAGACGAGCGGTTTTCTGTATTGTAAAGGTGCATCCACAGACACAAAGCCATGCTCGGTTTGTTTCTGTGGCAGAGGTTGTGGTACTGCTAAGCCTCATCACACTTGCCTGTGCTAATGGTTCTCACAGGCGAAGTAAAATGATACTAATTACTTTGCTCATGATATGCGCCCCTCAAATTATCCAAATGTAACAACAGCTCCAGTGAACCGGACTTGAAACAACGATACAGATGTAACCATGTGTGCCATTCAATGTATTATCTGATAGATTTTCTTTCTAGCGACACTGGTGCCCCCAAGTCAAAATCCCACATTCATTCCACAGGTCACGTTTATAAGCGTGTGTTATCAAGATTAGGAAAAGTTTTGCGGCACAATGGTTGAAAACCACTGTCATAGAGGGTGAGACATCATCATGAGGGTGGTTTTCTTCTCTGACTTCCGGGGCATAAATCAGCAGTAATGAAATGGTCTCGCAACCAGTCATGTCTGATTTATTTCACGGCCATAGAGCTGCCTTCAGACACATAAATCAGTAACTGTCTCCCCGCCCCAGACTAGTCTACCTCTTATGGGTCAACGCTACGTGTCAGAGCGGTACTGACCAACAAAAAAAAAAAAACAGCGGTACTGACAGTATGCCTTGGTTTTACGTTTGCGACGCTCGTCCTAAATCTCCCCTTGTCTGACAGCTAATGTCGGCATGTGTATATGTGTGTCCTGGATTTCCCCTTGTCTGACAGCTAATGTCGGCATGTGTATATGTGTGTCCTGGATTTCCCCTTGTCTGACAGCTAATGTCGGCATGTGTATATGTGTGTCCTGGATTTCCCCTTGTCTGACAGCTAATGTCGGCATGTGTATTTGTGTGTCCTGGATTTCCCTTTGTCTGACAGCTAATGTCGGCATGTGTATATGTGTGTCCTGGATTTCCCTTTGTCTGACAGCTAATGTCAGCATGTGTATATGTGTGTCCTGGATTTCCCCTTGTCTGACAGCTAATGTCGGCATGTGTATATGTGTGTCCTGGATTTCCCCTTGTCTGACAGCTAATGTCGGCATGTGTATTTGTGTGTCCTGGATTTCCCTTTGTCTGACAGCTAATGTCGGCATGTGTATATGTGTGTCCTGGATTTCCCTTTGTCTGACAGCTAATGTCGGCATGTGTATTTGTGTGTCCTGGATTTCCCTTTGTCTGACTGCTAATGTGAGTGTGTGTGGATTTATGTCTTCCACTTCTCAGAATGTTCTATTTCTCTTTTAGCTGCAACTAAAGTGAGCTACCTCAAACTGACTCATATCGAGGACACACACTGAGTCGACGGTGTATTGATGTTGCTCTTTGGTCGGACACAAACATTCAACCATAATCCAACTACGGTCTATTAACGTTGTTCTTTGGTCGGACATAACATTACTTCAACCATAATCCAATGAAAATTCTTCCCATGGTCTTACCTGAGTTCTGGGGGTAGGCGGGGCCCCCGTTGAGGTGGGGCTGCTGGGACATGGAGAAATGGGAGGTGCCGGAGGGCGCTCGGCGGTAGGTACCCGTGGCCGACACCATGGAGGCTGAGGTGGTGGTGGAGTTGTGGCGGGAGACCTGCCGCGAGATGGTGCCAAACTGGGACATGGGAATGGGACCCAGGCCTGGGCCTTGGGGGACTGCTGCTGACACTGTGGTTGTTGGGGTGGGGAGAGAGGTACGGAGAAAGAAGGTAGGGAAAGGAGAGTGAGTGAGTTAGTGAATTCACTGAAGTTGGCCCTGTGTTAACCACACTTATTTAGTGTGTGGTTGGATGGAAGCGACTCAGCTGTGGCTAGTGTGACTGAGTGCAACAACCAACCAGACAGAAAAAAGAGTTCAATGAGAAGCTATACTGTGCTGCCAAAATCTCATCAAAATATGCATGTGAATCTAGATCTAAATGGACAGCTGAATTGTTTGGAAAACTGATGCATAATATGAGGCTAAAACAAACAGACAAACACTACTGTATGCCAAAAGAGATGCGAAATTGACAGAACAAATAGGCAGCTAAGCGTATGCATATGAAAAGATTAGCTGACACAATAAACAGACACATGCTAAGTTGAAGACAAACCAGAAGCAGGACTGATAGAAGTAGGAGATGCTACACTAAAGGAATAAGATTGGTCAAACAGAAAGGACAGCTAAATGCTAAGCTAAAGAAACTGAGAAGCTAAGATAACAGAATGAAAAGCTAAATGCTAAGCTAACAGAGAAGAAAAGGTACCAAAATGGAAGTCTCAATTCTAAGATAGGGTACCAGAGATCCTAGACAGAATGTAAGGCTAAATGCTAAGCTAACAGAGAAGCTAGACAGAAAGGCTAATAATAAGCTAACAGAATGAAAGGGCAAAAATGCTACGCTACCAATAAGTTAACAGAGAAGCTAATTAGACAGAATGGACAGCTAAATGCTGAACTAAACAATGCTAACAGAGAAGCAAACAGAATGGAAGTATAAATGCTAAGCTAAGCTAAAAGAGAAGCTAATTCAATAGAATGGGCACCTAAATACTAAGCTAGCAAAGAAGCTACAATAACAGAATGGCTAGTTAAATACAAAGCTAAGCTAAAGGAGATGTATCGCTGGGCTCACATGGTCCCAGGCTGGGAGGGGAGGGAGTGGGCACGGCCAGAGGAACACTTATGCTGCTGCCACCGCTATTCTCTCGCCCGCCGCTACCCCCACTGCTGCCACTGCACACAGAGAGAGAGAGAGAGAGAGAGAGAGAGAGAGAGAGAGAGAGAGAGAGAGAGAGAGAGAGAGAGAGAGAGAGAGAGTGTCAGACAATCTGTAATTATATTGTCAGCGTGAGCTCCTATCACAGTACAGCTGTAGAACATAATGGGCTCTATTTTAACAAACCTAACGCAATGGTCAATCTTAGCACTGGCGGTAGCGCTATAGGTCCAGGGGTGTCAGAAAATATTTTTGCTATTTTCACTGCAGGAATTATGAGCTATCTTTGCTCAATATGTTGAGAATGTTAGCAGTCCACATTATTCTAAGTAATTGCATGGCTTGAATATGGAAATACATACAGTTGAAGTCGGAAGTTTACATACACCTTAGCCAAATACATTTAAACTCAGATTTTCACAATTCCTGACATTTAATCCTAGTAAACATTCCCTGTCTTAGGTCAGTTAGGATCACCACTTTATTTTAAGAATGTGAAATGTCAGAATAATAGTAGAGAGAATGATTTATTTCAGCTTTTATTTATTTCATCACTTTCCCAGTGGGTCAGAAGTTTACATACACTCAATTAGTATTTGGTAGCATTGCCTTTAAATTGTTTAACTTGGGTCAAACGTTTCGGGTAGCCTTCCACAAGCTTCCCACAATAAATTGGGTGAATTTTGGCCCATTCCTCCTGACAGAGCTGGTGTAACTGAGTCAGGTTTGTAGGCCTCCTTGCTTGCACACGCTTTTCAGTTCTGCCCACACATGTTCTATAGGATTGAGGTCAGGGCTTTGTGATGGCCACTCCAATACCTTGACTTTGTTGTCCTTAAGCCATTTTGCCACAACTTTGGAAGTATGCTTGGGGTCATTGTCCATTTGGAAGACACATTTGCGACCAAGCTTTAACTTCCTGACTGATGTCTTGACATGTTGCTTCAATATATCCACATACGTTTCCTTCCTCATGATGCCATCTATTTTGTGAAGTGCACCAGTCCCTCCTGCAGCAAAGCACCCCCACAGCATGATGCTGCCACCCCGTGCTTCACGATTGGGATGGTGTTCTGCTTGCAAGCCGCTGCCTTTTTCCTCCAAACATAACGATGGTCATTATGGCCAAACAGTTCTATTTTTGTTCATCAGACCAGAGGACATTTCTCCAAAAAGTACAATCTTTGTCCCCATGTGCAGTTGCAAACCGTAATCTGGCTTTTTTAAGGCGGTTTTGGAGCAGTGGCTTCTTCCTTGCTGAGCGGTCTTTCAGGTTATGTCGATATAGGACTCGTTTACTGTGGATAAATATACTTTTGTACCTGTTTCCTCCAGCATCTTCACAAGGTCCTGTTGTTCTGGGATTGATTTGCACTTTTCGCACCAAAGTACGTTCATCTCTAGGAGACAGAACGCGTCTCCTTCCTGAGCGGTATGACGGCTGCGTGGTCCCATGGTGTTTATACATGCGTACTATTGTTTGTACAGATGAACGTGGTACCTTCAGGCCTTTGGAAATTGCTCCCAAGGATGAACCAGACTTGTGGAGGTCCACAATATTTTTTCTGAGGTCTTGGCTGATTTCTTTTGATTTTCCCATGATGTCAAGCAAAGAGGCACTGAGTTTGAAGGTAGGCCTTGAAATACATTCACAGGTACACCTCCAATTGACTCAAATTATGTCAATTAGCCTATCAGAAGCTTCTAAAGCCATGACATAATTATCTGGAATTTTCCAAGCTGTTTAAAGGCACAGTCAACTTAGTGTATGTACATTTCTGATCCACTGGAATTGTGATACAGTGAATTATAAGTGAAATAATCTGTCTGTAAACAATTGTTGGAAAAATTACTTGTGTCATGCACAAAGTAGATGTCCTAACCGACTTGCCAAAACTATAGTTTGTTAACAAGAAATTTGTGGAGTGGTTGAAAAACAAGTTTTAATGACTCCAACCTAAGTGTATGTAAACTTCTGACTTCAACTGTACATAGCATTCGCACTGATATAGGGGCTAAGCCATGGGTATGCCAAATGTTGTCAATAGGCAAGATAACATTTACTATTGATAAGGCCTAAAAAGACAGTGAATAATTATAATCAAATTCTAATAAAAACAAAACAACAACTTGTTTTAAATAGGCTATGTCTCAATACAGTTGCAAGCACTGTAATTGCTCCCCGTGGGCATATAATATTAAGGCAACTAAGACTGGAGGGTTTTACCCACATCCAAAGTTTTCACAGAAGCTGGATAAATATCCGATATCAAGAGAAAGGTGGAATGTCCACTCAACGTTATACAGCTCCCAAATGTAATGTCTTATAAACATAATGGACTAACTTACCAAGCTAAAAAGAAAAAATGCTGACATGGGCTAATTAAGTGACTGCTGATGCACAACCACATTTCGAAATTGCACCTTGTGTATTCTATTAATATAACTCTCAAAAGTAAGTTGAAACCCCGAACTGAGTCCGGGGCCGGCGGGCCGCCAGTTGCCGATTCAAGGCCTACAGTAAGGGTAGCCTGCGGAAGGCTTGGTTTTTAATCATATGAAACAAAAAACAAGCAATTGTTAAAGGAAAAAAACTGGAGCTAGATACAATAATGAAGGCCTACAGGTAAAAAGGGGATGTCCTCACTGTTTTGCTGCTCACAAACTTGATATTTTAATAAAGCTTTGGCGATCAATAATTATTTCAAAGCAATCTCACCAGCCAAACCCTTTATTGATAAGCTTGGCTACTTGGCGAACGCATTGGTCAGGACAAAAAAATCCAGCCTTCATTGAGGGGAGGGGAGGCTATGCTTGGTTTTTAATCAAATGAAGGCTGCGAGAGAAATCCCCCTACCGTGTGTAGAAACCAGCAGTCCCGGTTGTTGTCAGCTCGAATGTTGTCATTAAAACATTGTTTGATTGGTTGACAAGATGAACTGTGCTCATTGGTCAACCATGCAGGCTTTGTTGCCGGCAATACCTTTCAGATATAAAGAAAAGTCGGCAAAAAGTTGGCGGCACGCTAAAGTCGGCTTCACAACGTCTTGGTTTGAAAGGTGTAAAACACACTAACACACACACCTGGGCACAAACACACCAATGGCCCACTGCAAATTAGGGGTGGGCAGTGTGTGTTACCTGTGTGTCCTGGGTCTCTGGTTGAGGGAGGCCGTGCGTGCAGGGCTGTGCTGGCTGCCTAGTCGTGCTGGGCTGGTCATATAGTCGTTGGGCACCGTTGGAGGCTTGACTGGCTCCAGGGTCTTATTTCGCCTGGAGAGGACACACACATGGAGAACATTAAGCGCATGTCAACACAACACACACCAATAACATTTTGCACGTTAAGAAAACACACACGTGCACAAACACAACAATAACTTAAGAGTACATCAGCACAACACAAGCTCAAACACTCACACACACATTTTCTGGTTACCATACCCAAGAGTTCCACGACCAGCCATGGGCGGGCTCGGGGGTTTCTGTGTCGGTGGATTGGTCCTCGATAATGTCCCCCCTCCTCCTCCCCTCACTGGCTGGTTGTTGCCATGTTGCTATAAAAAAAGAAAAACATGGATAATCAGTCATAGGTGGCCTACTGATGTTCAACCCTTTACAAAGGCAATTACTGTATGTTGCATTGTGCAAGTATCCCATTACAGTATGGCGCAGTTTATAGTTAACATTTAGCTTGTGATGGTATAAAATGGATGGTCAATATTGATAACAAGTATCTGTATTGTTTAATTGAGAGATAATTTAGATCATTTGGAGACATAACAAGGACCTTATATTAGGACTACATTATCTCATAAAGCTTTAATATACATACAACATATACTGATGTTACGAAATGAGGCGATCCAGAGTAATGGGGGCTTAGAGGCCCAAAGCATCATGGGTAGGGAGAGAAACGCAGCTCTTACCTTGGCTTTAAGCCACTGAGTGCAGGCAGTAAAAAGAGAAAAGAGACAAAAAAACAACATGCGCATTGGTTAAGAGAAGAGACAGAGTGAGAACTACAGTAACAACAGCAGTGCTCATTGGTTAAGAGTAGCAGGAGAGTATGACCTAAGGAGTAACACTTGGGCTCGCTGGAGGAGACAGAGTAAGAACTCTTGTGCTTATTGGTTAAGACAAGAAAGATGACTAACACTTGTGCTCATTGATTAAAAGCAGGGAGCATCACCACAAAGACAGCTCAGTATTTAGAGCAGTGGTTACCAAACTTATAATAATATAATATGCCATTTAGCAGACGCTTTTATCCAAAGCGACTTACAGTCATGTGTGCATAAATTTTTACGTATGGGTGGTCCCGGGGATCGAACCCACTACCCTGGCGTTACAAGCGCCATGCTCTACCAATTGAGCTACAGAGGACCACTTGGGATCGGGACCCCATGTGAGGTACCCTGAAATTGAAACGGGGCTCCCTGATAACTTTTTTATCTTCAAATGGGTATAGAAAACAACCTTTAAGTGTTAACTAAGGGCCTTTTACACTATTAGAATGTGCTATCATGTCATTATTGTGTGTTGGGACAGCCTGCGGGACATATAATTGAGTGAATATGAACACAGCGTTAACTAGCCCTCCTGTTGTCCTGGGGTCATTCTGACCCCAAATTAAATCTTTTGCCGACAAAATATGTTTTTTATTCATCAATTGGTCTGAAAATAACGGTAGTTGTTTAATACTATGCTCTTTATGATTCAAACAAATTTGAAGTAATTTGATTGAATTATGGGTGTTTTACTAAATGTAATAACTTCTGTTGTCCTCTGGGGTCAAAAAGACCCCGCAGCACAAAGTTTACATACTGCTTGGCAAAACATCTTTGATCATGTTTCTTTGATGTGTGGGGTCAAGCAATGGTTATGACAACAACAACAACAAAAAAGTATTTTCTCACAGGTGTTTGGGCATTTCACATTATAGTCTGAGAGAGACAGGCAGCACAATGAGGAGGCAGACGTTTTATAATGCACAGGAGGCTTGCAAGATAATTTTTGAAATAAAAGAAAATAATGACCAGGAGGACAATGCTGCACATAATGAGGATGAATCAACTGATGAAGAGGGTTCAGGGTCAGAAGAGGAGGAACATAATGATGAGGTGATAGATCCAACATACAGACAGCATGCTACTTCTTCCTCCGAAGATTCCCCCACATCTCCTGCTGCAGAAATGGAAGATGATTATGAATATAAGGAAATGGATGAACGTGATGATGACGTAGAATCTGAAGCTGGTATGGAAGAAGTGTCAGAAGTGGAGCACTGCACCTATTATGATGAAGAATCAACAGATGAGGTAGAATCTGAAGTTGAAATGGAAGAAGTGTCAGAAGTGGAGGACATCATCTATTATGATGAAGATGAAGAATCAACAGATGAGGTAGAATCTGAGGAAGAGGACCCAGCTGAGATGGAAGAATATTTCCAGTCAAAGGATGAAACATTGATCTGGTCTTCCATCCCTCCCAGTGACCGACGACGCATGTTGACAGCAGAGAGAGATACAAGCCACCATGGTCCAACTGCATATGCAAGGTTTTCGGATTGATGACATAAAGTCCACTTTTGACCTGTTTCTGCCAAAGCCTATTGAAGACGCAGTGCTGAGCATGACAAACAAGGAGGGGCAACGCGTTTATGGCAACAAGTGGAGAAAGATGGATCAAATGGACTTGCAGGCATATGTGGGTGTGTTGATTCTTGCTGGCGTGTACCGATCTAGTAAGGAAGCTACATCTAGTTTATGGCATGCCGAGTCTGGTAGGACAATTTTCCGTGCTACCATGACACTCAAGATGTTTCATAAAATCTCAAGAGTGATTAGATTTGATGATAAAGCCACAAGAGAAAATCGCCGTGCACGAGACAAACTTGCTCCCATTCGAGATGTATGGGACAAGTGGGTGTCTCTCCTGCCGTTGATGTACGATCCAGGTACTGATGTGACTGTGGATGAGCGCCTGGTCCCCTTCAGAGGTCGCTGTCCATTCAAACAGTACATCCCGAGTAAACCAGGGAAATATGGGATAAAAATATGGGTAGCATGCGATGCCAGGTCTAGCTATGCATGGAACATGCAGGTATACACTGGCAAACCGGCTGGTGCGCAGTCAGAAAAAAATCAGGGCATGAGAGTTGTCCTTGACATGACAGAAGGTCTCCGGGGGAAAACAATCACCTGTGACAACTTTTTTACTTCACATGCTCTTGGCTTGCAGCTGCTGAAAAGAAAGCTGTACATGGTGGGAACAGTACGGAGGAATAAGCCTGAGCTTCCCCCTGCTCTGGTGTCAAAAAAGGACCGGGCACGGTTCTCATCGAAGTTTGCCTTCACCGAGACCCATGCTCTAGTGTCATATCACCCCAAAAAACAGAAATTTTTTCATCTGATGAGCACTCTGCATCGGGATGCTGCTGTGAGCAACAGGGATGACAAAAGGCCCAAAATCATTGAAGATTACAATCACAACAAAGGTGGTGTTGATAACCTTGACAAAGTTACCAGTGTGTACACGTGCAAAAGAATGACAGCCCGTTGGCCACTCGTTGTCTTCTACAACATTCTCGACGTGTCTGCATACAACTCTTTTGTCCTATGGTCTGAAATCAAGCCAGCCTGGAATCAGGGAAAGTACAACAAGAGAAGGCTCTTCATGGAGGAGCTTGGGCGACAACTGGTGATACCTCACATCAAGCGACGCAAGGTTATTCCCCGCACGTCAGCCGCTGTCAAATTGGTTAAGGAGATCCAGCAGGTCTCCTCCAGCTCTACCTCTGCAGCAGCTCCCCCTCTCCCAGTTCCCTCATGCCGACCAGCCCTTCCTCGCCCATTACCCAAAAGGAGTAGGTGCAAATTCTGCCCTCGCCGAAGTGATTTCAAAACATCCAAAATGTGCCAAAAATGCAATGCATACATCTGCAAAGATCACGCCATTACTACCTGCCTCGCATGCAACTGAGGGCTCATTCAGACTAAAAAGTTAGGTTTTGAAGTTGAAAATGTTTTGGAAATGAATTATAACATGTGTTATATGTCAGGTAATAAGTTGGAATAAAGTTGACTGAAAAGTTGAAACAGAGAAGTGATTGTAAATGTATACTGTATGCTTTATAAACAGTCAAACCAGGCGGGGTCATTTTTGACCCCAGAGGACAAAAGGTGTGATTATGGGCTGTCATTAATAAAAATAAAATGATTCAAAAACAGCATCCTCACTAAACTTTTACAAATACCACTCAGTGATAAGTCAAATAGTCAAAATAATAATAGGTCAAAATAATTCATAGTTTCATTGTATTTTTACTTAAAAACAGGGTATACTTTTATGTAAACAAGGTCTATTGGCTCTAAATTCCAAAACAAATGAAAAAAATTCTAGTAATGGGTTGAACAGAAGTAAGACTAAAGATGTAACACAGAATTGATTGAAAATGTATACTGTATGCTTTATAAACAGTCAAACCAGGCGGGGTCATTTTTGACCCCAGAGGACAAAAGGCGTAAGGCATTTGGGAGGACAACACGAGGGCTAGGGAATATTATTTTTCCAAGCGGGGTACCATGCATTTTCTAGTATCAATTTTACATTTTTGTCATTTAGCAGACGCTCTTATCCAGAGCGACTTACATGCACTTAGTGAGTGCATACATTTTCATACTGGCCCCCCGTGGGAAACGAACCCACAACCCTGGCGTTGCAAGCGCCATGCTCTACCAACTGAGCTACAGGGGATTTTGAGTTGTGTGCAAAAAACATTTCGGAACCCCTGGATTAGAGAGTATTATTTTGTAACTATTCTAGTTAGGAATATAGTGAAAATATAATTGAAAAAGAAATAGAGTTAATACTTGAGTTCTCAATGATTACGACCATGAATTAGCCTGAATATCGAACTGTAACCTCTGACTCCTATTTGACGATATCAGATGGTTCTATTTATCCAACACCTAATATTGATTTTATATTTACATTTTAGTCATTTAGCAGACGCTCTTATCCAGAGCGACTTACAGTTAGTGAGTGCATACATTTTCATACTGGCCCCCCGATTGCTAGCTCCCGTTAAATCCTGCTCCCTAATTGAGATAGCTCACAGTTCAGTCTGTCAAATGCCTGACTTGGATTCTACTGGAAGCTAGCTGTAGTAGTCAGCCAGTCAGTGAGATCTAATACATGACTTGCGTTTACAGTAACTGGTGACAGTCGACTACTCTGTCACTCTAAAATGTCTCCTGATTCCTAATTGTTGTGAAGCTCCCTCGGCTGTCACTTTGGATGTGTTTGTAGGGGGAAGTATCTGACACACGCCTCCATCTCCAGGGGCAACTGTCTGTCAGTAATGACTGGTGGGGGGGATACCATGGTAACCGGGATGCGAGGAGAGTGATTTGGTATTCATTGTCCAAGGTGAGCCCCTGGGGACTTCTCCTGCCCTAACGAGAGGGAAATAGGCTGTGAGGATGAGCTGGGCTAATAAGCTGGGCTAATAAGCTGGGCTAATGAGCTGTTCACACGCGCACACACTTATACATACAGTACATGAGGTACACACACACACACACACATTTTACATTTTTAAATTTTTAGTCATTTAGCAGACGCTCTTATCCAGAGTGACTTACAGGAGCAATTAGGGTTAAGTGCCTTGCTCAAGGGCACATCGACAGATTTTTCACCAATCCCATACATAACATACACACACACACGGTACTCATTCTACACAAGTCTGCTTAAACATACATCCAAAGACACACACACACATCCAACCATTCGGGCCTCATCAGCATTAAAATGTCTATATTTAATGGAATATGCACCTAAACACACACACACACACACACACACACATATACATACATCAGACTAGTGTGGCTGTACTGGCACTGGGCTGATATCAATGGCTCTGAATTATTAACACACACGTGTGTTTCGGTGGAGAAAGGGGAAATCTGAGAGGGCTCCCTCTCTGTCTGACTGTCAGCCGTGAAGTAGACACAGTGAAACCCGAGAAATCAAAATGGAGGTGCACCAGATTCAGTACATTGCACTATTGAGTCCTGAGAAGCATGAATCTGAATGGTTTCCTGTGTCTGCTACAGAAAGCTATCTTAAAGGCGCACTTCACCACTTTTTAACATCATATTCATTATCTTCAGCGACTTACTAGTTTCTACATATGTGAAAATTTTGAAACTTTTGTTCGTTTTGTAGTCAAAAAGATAAGAAGAAAAGGTCAGAAGAAAAATACCCCATATGATGTCATCGGGGGTCATGACCTCTTTGTGTTATTGAGTAGCTGGAATACATTAATACTACAGTACCACAGTGTAGACCGAGAAGTCATATTGTAAATTTGGTCACTATAGGAAACCCCAATATAGTGGACAGATATTCTACATACCATATGCATGTATCCTTTTGCTAATTTGTATTGCTGCAAATTCTCAATCCATTTGTATCATGAGACTAAGACAAATGTGTGAATAGGGCCTATTTTGGTTACAATTGCTTTGCAGCGGATGTTAGAAGAATATCAACAAACAAACTCATTATCTAACATAAGACACAGTCACAGCAAGAGTAATAGAGCGATTCATTCATGCATAGCACACCATGGCAAATAAATGACTATCAATGACAGGCAGCAACCAATACACACAACAAGCTCAGAGAGAGAGAGAGAGAGAGAGAGAGAGAGAGAGAGAGAGAGAGAGAGAGAGAGAGAGAGAGAGAGAGAGATCCAAGGGAGGGAGAATAAAAGTGAAGACGGAGCCGGAAGAGCGCTGAAAGATTATTTTCCCACAATTCATGGGGGATATGATGCCGTCAGATCGTGCTCTGTCGGTCTCGCTCTTACACACTTGTCTACACACACACATGCTCGTACACCCCAGCACACACAGACTTCCCAGCTGGTAACCTCATAGAATTCTTGGACACCGACAGAGGTTAGAGGAGCCAAGCTTGTAACCACTGATGGCTTCGCCTACTACACTGACAGTTACAGTGTTATGTTAAATCTTCACACGCCCTACTGCACTTCATTAACTAAAAGGGCAGTTTATTGATTAGCTTGATTTGATTAAGTGGAAGTAATTACATTTTAATAAAATGGCTAGACAGACCAATTACATGACTGTTCCAGGTGTGAATCTGGTGCTAATTGTGTGTTTGCCTCTCATGGAAATTGATTTATACAAGGACTAGTACACATCTGAGAATGATGTCTAACTAATTAATGACTCCAGTTGATCAATGCAATGAAGGGTGTAAGCCGAAGCCAGCATGGATACTGGCGACGTCACTGCAGTATTACATACAGAATAGGTTTTTTTCCTGAAAATGTCAGTATCAGGCACTAGGGCTGAGGATGCTTTTACTTTAAGAGGGGGGGGGGGGGGGGGGGGGGGGGGGGGGGGGGGGGGGGGGGGGGGGGGGCTCTTACTTTGACGCTGTGGCTTTTACTTTGAAACACAGACAGAGAGGGGGGCTCTTATTTTGACACTGTGACTTTTTCTTTTAAATATACATTTACATTTTAGCAGACGCTCTTATCCAGAGCGACTTACAGGAGCAATTAGGGTTAAGTGCCTTGCTCAAGGGCACATCGACAGATTTTTCACCTAGTAGGCTTGGGGATTAGAACAAGCGACCTTTCGGTTACTGGCACAACGCTCTTAACCACTAAGCTACCTGCCGCCCCCAAATATAGGGGACTCTTACTTTGACACCGTGGCCCACGTCGTCCAGCAGCGTGTAGTCGATGGGCTTCCTGATGTACCGGACCGGCCGCTCAATGTTGCCTGGGGCGATGATCTTGTGCGTGCGTGACGTGTTCTTGTTGGTGGTCAGGATGCCGATCTCTCGCCGTGCCACCTTCTCCTTGTGGATGTCCACCGTCTGAATGGAGGGATGGAGAGAGAGAGAGAGAGAGAGAGAGAGAGAGAGAGAGAGAGAGAGAGAGAGAGAGAGAGAGAGAGAGAGAGAGAGAGAGAGAGGGAGAGAGGGAGAGAGGGGAGGATTAGAAGCAAGAAAGAGGAAGGAGTGCTCTGCTAAATGTAATTACAGTGACTTTACACTGTCATATGTTTTGCGGGTTTGTTATAGATTTTTACTACAGTCTTAAATCATTACATTTTACTATGACTGTTTAATACCTCCATGAAGTCATTTTTACGGCAGCAATAAGAAAGCTTATAAACTATTCATACTGATGGACTATAACAACAGTATTTCACATTTAGTGGCCCTTAGGGGTTTAAATATACAGTACAGCTTCCTTTCTAACCCAGTATTCTACAATCCTGGATCTGGGGACCCACAGTGTGCAGGTTTTTGTTCTAGCCCAGTATTAACACCCTGATTAAACTTCAACTGGCTCATACACTGCCTTGATGATTAGTTGGTGTTGGTAAGTTGAATCAGGTGTGTTGGACTGGAACAAAAATCTGTGCACTCCGTGCGTCCAGGGCCGTGTTCAGTAGGCACTAAACGGAAGAAATGTACTGAAACAGGGAAGGACTGCCTGGGCGTGTCCAATAACTGCACTGGACGTGTCGTTTTTTGTTGCAAAATGTTTTCCTACTGTGTGCTCTAATGAACACGAGCAAAGAACACTACCTTCACCCTGGACACCATTCGAAAGACCGCTCCTACTCCATCTAGGTCCGTTGAAACTGCTAGTGACCCCTATATCCTTTTATATTACAGTCATCAATTACATGATCTCGCAGCAGGTTGTCTGTCTCCTGTTAGAACCTCAGAGGGTTGATTCTTATGAACGATAGATGAAGGACATTTAGGTCACACTTCAGTCAGTAAGAGAAAGATGATGTGTGTGTGTGAGAGTGGAGGGGAGGGGGGGTTGGATGGTGTGTGTATGTGTGTGTGTGTGTGTGTGTGTGTGTGTGTGTGTGTGTGTGTGTGTGTGTGTGTGTGTGTGTGTGTGTGTGTGTGTGTGTGTGTGTGTGTGTGTGTGAGAGTGGAGGGGAGGGGGGGGTTGGATGGTGTGTGTATGTGTGTGTGTGTGTGTGTGTGTGTGTGTGTGTGTGTATGTGTGTGTGTGACCCTGGGCAATGAGGTCACACTTCAGTCACTGTTCATCCAACTCGTTAACTACTCTTTAGTGATTCCATTGCTGTACGAGCTAGAGATGGAGAACAAGTGAAAGATAAAGGGATCTTTAATAGACAGTTAGTTCATTTGACTCTCTGGAACAATGTAGATTGGATCTTAATTTGGTTGCCTACCACAAACATATAAGATCTGCTGAATCATCATAATAATAATAACATATGCCATTTAGCAGACACTTTAATCCAAAGCGACTAACAGTCATGCGTGCATACATTTTACGTACGGGTGGTCATGGGAATCTAACCCACCTTCCTGGCGTTGCAAGCACCATGCTCTATGCTCAACCTACAGTAAGTTTAGGTACAGACTGCTTTGAGAGTGTCTAGACACAGCTAATGCAATCTAACTTTTGAGGGCACAGCTCTCTCTCTCTAGCAACAGTTACTGTGATAAACATCTGGCTGGTGTTTAAAAGCCCGCTATCTCCCCAGGAACAGATGGCAACTCCGCTCTATGAACATGTTAACTAACAGCCAGCACATCACAGTGTTGTCCCAGAAATCTCTGTTGATGAAATGCCACCCTTCAACATCGGACCATGATTTTTTTAGATCTATTTTTCCCGCCAATTCTTCCAGAGGTCATTCCCCCTCTCTCTCTCTCTCACTGTTGGCAAGGAATGATGTTATGGATAGGATAAGGACCGAATCATAGAGCGAGAATTCCGAGAGTGATGCATTGTAATTCCAGGCATGTCTTTGGATGGGAAATGTTGAGAGGATTTGTCCAATCTCTTCCAATTCCAATTGTGAACGCAGCCAAATCCTTCTACACAGAAAGGCAATGACAAGGCTGGTGGGTCATCGTAGAGATGGATGAATCAGTGAGTCATGGAAAAGATTAATGAGTTAATCAGAGGACTGTTGATCATAGATAGATGACTGAACAGAAACGTTGGTGTTGCTGGTACAGTTTATTGTTCTCAACATGAATGCAGGGTTTCCCCTTGAATTTTTGACGGCAGAAGAATTCACTGAAAGATGACTATAATGATTATTTTTAACAATTGAAATACCAGGGGTCAAGAGGGCTGGTAAGGTTTGTCGTGTAGTCCACTTGGTGGGTTAAACTTGCCTCAAACCTGAGTGTACTGCCTCATTTCTGGGTCTCAATGTCTGGTCTATGAGCCATGTGGCAGTTACTGGTGTATATGGATAGTGACGGGGGGATAGAGGGGGTAGCAGGGGGTCTACATGTGTATAGGGAGGCACGCCACCTTCCCATGCCTCATTGCACCGATTTTTGTCTGTCTGTGTGTGTGTGAGTGTCTATGGTCATCAGTTAACTGATGCAGAGAAGAGAATCGCACACACATCCCAGACTGTAAGCCAGACACAGGCTGTGTCTGACATGGCACCCTATTCCCTATATAGTGCACATCTTTTGCCCAGAGCCCTGCCCTGGTCAAAAGTAATAGGGTGCCACTTGGGATGCAGCCACAGACTCTGACTTCATTACCAGCGGGGCATTAGTGATGCTTTTTAGAGAGACACGTTTGGGAAACAGTAATATAATGTCTGTTTTCCTTTGTCTTCCGCCTTCTGTTTTTAGTCTTTGGCATGGGGCCACCAACTCAAACTCAATATTGTCTGTGTCTTGATATACAGTGCCTTCAGAAAGTATTCACACCCCTTGACTTTTTCCACATTTTGTTGTGTTACAGGCTTTTTATTATATATTTTTTGACATTTTTACAAATTAATTAAAAATGAAAACTTAAATGTCTTGAGTCAATGAGTATTCAACCCCTTTGTTATGGCAAGCCTAAATAAGTTCAGGAGTAAAAATGTGCTTAACAAGTCACATAATAAGTTGCATAATAACTCTGTGTGCAATAATAGTGTTTAACATGATTTTTGAATGACTACCTCATCTCTGTACCCCACACATACAATTATCTGTAAGGTCCCTCGGCCGAGCAGTGAATTTCAAACACAGATTCAACCACAAAGACCAGGGAGGTTTTCCAATGCCTCACAAAGAAGGGCACTTATTGGTAGATGGGTAAAAAAACAAAAACACAGACATTGAATATCCCTTTGAGCATGGTGAAGTTATTAATTACAATTTGGATGGTGTATCAATACACCAAGTCACTACAAAGATACAGGCATCCTTCCTAACTCAGTTGCCGAAGAGGAAGGAAACCGCTCAGGGATTTCACCATGAGGCCAATTGTGACTTTCAAACAGTTACAAAGTTTAATGGCTGTGATAGGAGAAAACTGAGGATGGATTAACAACATTGTAGTTACTCCACAATACTAACCTAATTGATAGAGTGAAAAGAAGGAAGTCTGTACATAATACAAATATTCCAAAACATGCATCCTGTTTGCAACAAGGCACTAAAGCAATACTGCTTTCCACTAGACACTGGGAGATGAATTCACCTTTCGGTAGGGCAATAACCTAAAACACAAGGCCAAATCTACACTGGAGTTGGTTACCAAGAAGACAGTGAATGTTCCTGAGTGGCCGAGTTACAGTTTAGACTTAAATCTACTTGAAAATCTATGGCGACCTGAAAAAGGTTGTCTAGCAATGATCAACATCCAATTTGACAGAGCTTGAAGAATGTTTTTAAGAATATTGGGCAAATGTTGCACAATCCAGGTGTGGAAAGCTTACCCAGAAAAAACACAGCTGTAATCGCTGCCAAAACTGCTTTAACAAAGTATTGACTCAGGGTGTGAATACTTATGTAAATTAGATATTTCTGTGTTTTATTTTAAATAAATGTGCAAACATTTCTAAAAACATGTTTTCATTTTGTCATTCTGGGGTATTGTGTGTAGATCGGTGAGAAACAAAAATCTATGTAATCCATTTTGAATTAAGCCCTATTAGAGGGCTGGTCGCAGCTCAGATTTTCCCTGGTTGTCCATGGTTACACTAAACACTATGGTTTCCGAAGCAACTCGCTCAGTCAAAACAACAAATGTTGCTTCATGTTAGCTTGCCCTTTTTATTATGGTCGGTCTGCCCACATTCCTGATGTTTTAAACCTTCACATGTATGTGCAAGTCTCACATAATCCTGACAGAAAATGTTCCCAACAGTAGAGAAAATAATGTTTTTACCCAACAATAGCATGTGAAACTTGGAATATCTTTGAAATGTACAACAGCATTGGCAATTTTTTCAAGATATTTCTTTCTCCAAGAGAAAAAGGTTATTTCAAGAGATAATAATAATTGCTCATTTTGATTTAAAACATATAATAGTGTTTAACATGATTTTTGAATGACTACCTCATCTCTGTACCCCACACATACAATTATCTGTAAGGTCCCTCGGCCGAGCAGTGAATTTCAAACACAGATTCAACCACAAAGACCAGGGAGGTTTTCCAATGCCTCACAAAGAAGGGCACTTATTGGTAGATGGGTAAAAAAACAAAAACACAGACATTGAATATCCCTTTGAGCATGGTGAAGTTATTAATTACAATTTGGATGGTGTATCAATACACCAAGTCACTACAAAGATACAGGCATCCTTCCTAACTCAGTTGCCGAAGAGGAAGGAAACCGCTCAGGGATTTCACCATGAGGCCAATTGTGACTTTCAAACAGTTACAAAGTTTAATGGCTGTGATAGGAGAAAACTGAGGATGGATTAACAACATTGTAGTTACTCCACAATACTAACCTAATTGATAGAGTGAAAAGAAGGAAGTCTGTACATAATACAAATATTCCAAAACATGCATCCTGTTTGCAACAAGGCACTAAAGCAATACTGCTTTCCACTAGACACTGGGAGATGAATTCACCTTTC